ATTTTGTGTTCTTATTCACGTTATGTATAATGTGTACGAACGTTATATAGCGTTCGTACACACTATATATAACGTGAATAAGAAAACAAAATAGAAAAGAAAATCGTTATTTGTCGCAGCTCTAATGGAAGAAAAGATAAAACAACCCTGGATAAAATTTTGTAAAGTAGAAGAAACAAAAAGCAGAAGAAAATGTTCTTCTATTGCATGTGCATATATCCGTGTATCTTTGTATTCAGTCTAAAGTTTTATCGGTTTGTGTTACATCTGATAGTGAATGTAGTCTATCTAGTATACTTAAGTTGAGGGCGAAACGCGTTTGTATATGGCCATTTTCTGTGGAGGTGATTTTGATCGAAAAGAAGCTTTATGGTTAAACTTGTTTTATTCTTGTTATCGTATGAGGAATATTTCAGTAGTTTAATGTGTTCTATGATATATTTTAGCTGATGACTGGAAAAGTTAATACGCTTATGAGCATTCAAGAGGCAAATGCCTTGCATGCGCGAAATTGTTTTGTGCTTGTATCTATTTTGGTGGTCATTATGCTTATGATCAGCAGCTGTTGATTCATGTTACATCCAGTATTATGGACATGTATTCTGGTTTCAAGAATTTCACAGATGCATACAATCGTACGATGGCTTTGATGAATGAGCGAATTGGTAGTGGTATTGTATACGAAAGAATGAATCGTATACGGCTCGAAGACGTATGGTTTTTGTATCAATTTTCGCAAATAGCGTTTTTTTTCCATAAAGTGGATATTGTGAAGTTGCCCAAAGTGCTGTGAGTTTGATTGGCAGTTTAGGTATTTGTATAATAGCTGTTTTGTTGTATTAGGTATCATCTAGAAATATTGAATTTTATTGGAAAATATTATGATCAGCTCAGTGTCAAGTTTACCCAATTCTGGTCTAAGCACAAAGAGGTGCGTTGTTGTGGAGAAAATTGTTCAAAGGCATTCGTAACAGATGGCTTCCAAAAACCCTGTCGATTCATCTGTTCAAATGTCACCAAAGCTGAGTTATGTGAAGAAATGGGTAAATCGGTTTATATTTCAGATCTTTTATCGTGGTGTATATGATGCGTTCTTTCAGGTCCAGTTACGTTGGGTTGCGGAAATCGACCTAAATCTAGCAATAAACGAACGGCGGTTGAGACGGATAATCCATCATTTGATGATGATGATGAAGTCGTTGAAGAGGATGGTGATTTTGGAATGTGTGCTGCTTGTGTTTGTGCTGACAGAGGTACCCCGGTTGAAGAACCTTTTGAAACAGATGAATGTAACGTAGAGCGAAAGCCGAGGTTTCGTAACAGCAAGGTGACCTCATATGGTGTTGTTCACACTGAATACAACTGCGGTATTGTGGTTGATTTCCTAGAAATAAATTTATCCGAGCAAGTATTTGTTATCATAT